CGTGCCATGGGCCGATGGTTCAGTATCGGACTCAGCACCATAAAGAAGGGAGTCAGTAAAATAATTTTCTAACCCCTTGAATGGTTGCTTATCCGTGACCACCGTCTTGACCTCCTCATTAGTGTCGACATACTTCAAATACTGATGGAGGGTGGAGGGAACTATAAGATTACCGTGGATCCATGGGCGACCCAACAGTAAGTTATAAGAAGTCTCCTCATCGATCACATAGCAGGTGACTTCAGACTTCAGACTTCAGATCTCCGAGTTGACACTTCACCCGGATTTTTCCCAACAGTCGTGATCCGCTTGTGTTGAAACCATAGATAACCGTTCCAGTGGAGGCTAACTTGCTGGCGGGAATTCCGAGGTGGTACATCAAACGAAGTGGCATGATACTAACAGCGGAACCCGGATCGACTTGGATCCGGTTAACCATGCTCGAACCGATATATCCAGTAAAATATAACGGTCTATCATGCTTTGAATTCCTGACTTGCATGTCTTCTTTTGTTGCACTGATGACTCTGGCTTTTCAGGAGTTGGCTTGATCTGAGTGAGGAATACTTCAGAATCAGCCAAAGCTTCTTGTAAGGCTTTTATGGTTTCTTTCGAGAGGCGCAACAACTCGTATAGTGTGATCCTTGCTGGGATATTGGCTAGCTGAGCCATAACATCGAAACGATATGGTGCGTTCGAGCTTTCCGGTTTATCTCGTCCAATCGGTCGGCTGAAACGAGACCGCTTCGGAATTTGAACCTCTTTATGTTGGGGTTCTTTCTCTTTTTGTTTAGCCGGTTGTTGCGGCTTTTCAACAGCTACTGGAGGAGTTGTAACTATCCCCAGCTCCTTTAGAGTTGTAGCATTTGGGTTAGAAGTCTCAGGATATTTGTAATGGTACTCATTCCCACTTCTTGTAGCGAAAACTTCTTGTTCTCCATCAGAAAGTGATAAGGCTGCTATCTCCTCATCGTTCTTCTCAGGAATCGCCGAGGCTCCATAACAGGACTTTTCTTTTCCCTTGCCTTTTGACTTCTTCTTCGACGTGGATGTTGTCCACTGTTCATCTTCAAGCAAATCCGGATGAACCCAAAGGATTTCGCCGTTGGGGGTTGTGTGAGATACAAGCCCTTTTTGACGCTGTCCATGGGGGTTATCGTTGATGGTTTGCACTTTGACCTTTCATACTGGCTCGGCTTGAAACCAAGACAAAGGAACCGATCCGAAGCTAATTGAGACTGCGTTTGCGCCTACTTTCTTCTCCTTTGGCTTCGGCAATTGAGACTGCGTTTGCGCCTACTTTCTTCTCCTTTGGCTTCGGCGTCACAATACCAACATCAATTAACGTTTGTATCTTGTCTTTTAATACATAACATGTTTTGGTGGGATGGTGAACTCTCCTGTGATAGGCACAATACTTCGGGTCATTAATCTTCATTGCTTCTTCTTGGTTTGTGACCGGTGGAAGCTTGATCTTGTTATTCTCTAACAAGTATTTGAAGATGACTGGAACTTCATCATCTTTGAAAGAGTATTCCTTCGGAAATCTAGGCTCAGAAGTCTTGGGCTGCCTAGGGGGCTGCTGATTCTGATTTGGCGCCAGTTGGAAGGATGACTGCTGCGGTTGTTGTTGCGGCGGCTGTTGTGACGTTTGATGGGCATAAACAGCTGCCACGGACCCTCTTCCTCTGCCTCGAGGATTAAAGTTCTGGGAATAACTCTTCCATGTCTGCCCAGCTAGTGATACTCCCAGGCTTAAGGCGTCGGTACCAATCGAAGGCAGGCCCGCGAAGGGTTCCTACGAATGACCGGACCATCAGGGCTTCGTTCCCAGATATTGCGCCGAGATGCGACTTGAAATAGATCAAGTGCTGAGTTGGTGAACCCCTGCCATCAAAAGGAGTAAAGTTAATCAAATTAAATTTCTGGGGATAAGGAATCAGGTCCCACTCCCTCGGGTACGGGTATGGGATGCCCGTTTTCTTCACTTCTTGAGCCGTCATCAAAGCGTTGACTTTGCTCTCAAGATCGTGCATCTTCTTGTCCTCTTCCTCGCTTTTCTTCAAATAGATCTGTGGAGGTTGAGTGGCTGACTTGGTCGGATCGCTTCCGGAGTTGTCTTTATCTGGAGGAGGATCTTCAAATATTGTCTCATCCTCTTCATTACGCCGGCTGGATTCCGCCTTCTGGCTCGACTCCGGTTGGTGTTGCTGAACCTGCAAGTCTCGCATCTGCTGCATAGTCAACTCCATTTCGGTTTTGAACTCAGCTCTGATTTCCTCGCGTTGTTTAGCCAACGCTTCCTGCAGCATGTGAGCCAATTGATCCGGCGTGATTGCGAACGATTCCCTGACTCGTCCAACACTGGACGCAGTATCGTCCGATGCAATAGCGGAACAAGTATCCGACAATTCTTCATCTGAAGATAAACCCTCGTGCATTCTCCTGTAATCTCGACGTAAGTTGGCTCTTCTTTGTAACCGCGCCATCCTTTGAGAAAGACCCCGCTCAACTCTCCCTCCCGGAGAGAAATCAGGGTCGTAGTTAACTGACTTTTGCTTTCCTTTATTGGTCATGTTGATAGTGACCTCAGGAAGCTCATCTTGTCGGATTACAGATTTCTTTTTGTTGAAACGTCTTGTTTTGGGTCTTGACGCTTCATTGGACAATCTTTGAAATACGGAGACTCTTGTTGAATTATTCTTAGAGCATCCGCATTCTGTCAACACTGCTTTAATGAGTCTCCCGCAAGCGCAATGAGACTCGTTTTCTCTGACAACTCTCTTTCTTGAGTTATCTTTTTGATAGTACAGCTCATCATTATTGTGATTTGAGCAACCTATCTTTTGCCTTTGAACTTTGTTAGCATGCACAGGACGACTGGTCGTCGCCTCTGGGAGATCCAAAATTAAATTTTTAAATCCACCCCCTTGCGGGTGTGGAGTTTTCAGAGGTCCTAAACGAGAGTGAACTGGTATTCTCTCGTTTTGGACTTGTGCAGTTCTGACAGGAGGGTGTTTACGACCCCCTGTATAGGAAACCACTAAGGGTTTGTTCGCTGGACTTGGATCTTCTTTAACTGGGGTTTTGCCTCGATCATCAGCCGAAGGACCGAGGCGATCCGCCATAGTGATCTTGAATTTTAACAAATCTGGGCTAACCCAGGGTTTCACAGGTGATGAAGTAGACACTGTTGCAGTAGAAGGACCAGGATTGGGTGTCGATGGAACTGCAGATGTGGTTTTGCGACGCTGATGAACATCACGACCACATGAAGTGCCGCGGCAGTCTTCACTGTCGCGGTTGAACAAAGTGCCGCGGCAGCTCGGACTGCCGCGGTCGAATAGATTACCGCGGCAGTATGAGCTGTCGCGGTAAGAGTTTACATTCCTCTGTAATTTTTGGGTATTTTCATTTTTTGGAACCCAAGCTTTGCAGTTCTTCGATGGCTTTT